CCTCCGGCAGCGTGGATCTTGAAGAACCAGGATCGGAGCCCCGAGTCATCAGGGGTAATTCGGGTCAGGCTAACTCGGGTTCGTTTGTCGGGGTTCCGAACCCGAGATGCCCCTGGGCCCGAGTTACCCCGGATAATGCGGGCGTCAAGAGCCGCAAATCATCAGGTGTAATTCCTGTCAGGACTAACTCGGGTTCGTTTTTCGGGAATCCAAACCCGAGTTACCCCGGATAACTCGGGCGCCCAATGGGACAAGTGTATGTGCCTCAGGCTAATGTTGTTTTCTCTCCCCCCGAGCTTGCATTGGCCTCCCACTTGCAATATCCGCTCGTGGGGGATCTGGGGGTCCTCAGCGGTTGCCAATCGTCGAAACATTTGAATCGATCCCGAGGTGCTTGCGCTTTCCCCCCGCATCGTCTACGCCTTGCAGTCACATCGTACGCCTGCGACGGTACTCGTGTTCATAGGGTGGTTCGCGCGTGTGTCATTCGCAACGTTGTTAGACCTTTCATGCGCGGTGGTGGTCCGAAGGCCTTCGTATTATACTGCGACGCCACGCCACAAAACGGATAGGATAGCTGCTGGCTCCGCCTGGCCGCAGCCTTCTTTGGCTTGGTATCCGAGGGTGGGGGAGGAGGGCGACCCGCGGAGAGTATGCCACGTCGGGCATCTGCCGTGCCAGGCCCCGCTTGTTCTCCTCTTCAACCTTCTCCTGGCCCTCCGGCAGAGGGAAAGGATTAGTGGACACTCCCCCTCTCCCCCAAACTCAAAGTTGGCACGCGCGGAGGAGACTGCGGTCGAAGTGCATCTCATAAGGCCCACCGCCGACTTTTGAACATTGGGGGAAGGGGGAGGCGTTGACCGCTGAACGTGGCATGAGTCTTCGCTGGTCTTGTTCCGAGGCCTGTCCCTCACTTCCTCCTCCTCAGCCTCCTCACCTCCCCACCTCCTCCTTCCGCCCTCCCTCATCACCCTCCTCCTCCTCCTCCTCCTCCTCCTCACCATCCTTCCTCCTTCCCCATCGTCCTCATCATCATCATCATCATCATCATCATCATCATCATCATCATCATCCTTTTCATCCTCCTCCTCCTCACGAATCTACTCCAAGCGCCTTCCTTCTTCAATGATCGAGTGGCTTCACCTTGTCCTTCCTCTTTTTAGTGGCCAGCGGACACCCAATCTATTTTCAACGCCTTTCTAATTCATGTTTCCACCTACTTTGTATGACGGAGGCCCTCGTCGTCACCGCTGGATTCGCCTCGAAGTTCTGGTTAGAACGCACCCCGGGAGAGGTCTGGGAGTAGCGGTATCGGTACCTGTTGGTTTCCCCATCCCCCCCACCCCCCTTTGGAGTAGATCTTGGCAGTTAGGGGCGCCATTTCCAAGCAGGTGGAGTCTTCCTCACAGGACGTATTGCTGCAAACAGTCGCATGAATCCCAGGTCTGGAGCCAGACACCCCCTTCTCCCCCCTTTCCGCCGAATGTCCAGAGGTTCTTTCGTTCGTCCCCAACCTGTATCTTGGTCTCCTGACCAAACACGTCGGGCCGTTCAAGCCGGGCGAAACACACACACACACACAGTCGTAGTGCGCACGTGAGTGTGCAAGTTCATGCGGGTGCAAGTTCAAGCGTGTACGTGTGTGTGTGTGGCTTTGCTCCAGACATTCTCTCGTGGCATATTTCGGCGACGAGCGAGGAGGAGAAATGAGAAGGAGGAGGCCTTCTCAGAGGGCGTCGGGACACTCGCGCCTTCCGAGAAGTGTTCTCTGCCTTCGGGGAAGGCTCAGAAAGTTGTTCAGATGGCCCAGTGGGCGGCCCAGGGCTTCCGAGCCTTCTGAGAAGGCCCGCCCCCCCTCTCACTTCCCCCCGGGCTCGCCGCCGAACATTGGCAGAACATGTTGGCGTGGGGGCGTAGTGGGCGCACTTGCGGGGCCTACAGAAGGGGCGTTGGTTAAGGAATGTGCCCAGGAGGCTTCAGACCCTGGAGGTTTCCTCAGCTGATGAGGGCGGTGGCGATACCCTTGGCCGATACAGAATTGGAGTTCCACTGGCTTCCAGACCTCGTATTCCTGATCCAAGGCTTCCTTAGTCAATGCCTCCGCCCGATTGCCGGATTGGCTGACTTGTCGATGTGCAGTTCGGCCCGAGCTGCACCAGCGCGCTCGGCCGCCCCAGCGCCCTGCTGGTGTCGGAGGCGGGCGTCTACGAGAATGGCCTCGGCACTGGACGAAGTGTGCGTGTGTGTGCGCCTGGCTGCCTACCCCCAGCTGCTGCCCCACCGCTGCCGCTGGCTCCCCGCCCCGGCGCCCGCCCCGCCGCCGGCTGGCCCTGCTCTGCGCTAGCCCGGCCTCCTCTCCCTCCCGCCCGCGCCGGGCTTCCCTTCTCTCCCTCCCGCGCACTGCGGCTGAATTCGCGTTTTGTGTGCACCACTACTGCCTCATCACCGGAGCAGTCTTTTCTGCCCAGCCGCCGACACAAAAAGTGAGTGCGTGCGCCTGGCATCGCAACGATGGGAGGGGAAGACGCTAGTTTTCTCTGCGACGGTTCCCATCTTATGAAGAGAGAGAGAGAGAGAGAGAACAAAAAAAAAAACAAACATAAAAAAACGAGCTGCGGTGTCCATGTTGCTTTTCTGGAGGTGACGTGGGTTAGCAGCGCGATCGGTTCGTCGTCCCCTTGCGTGATATTACTTCGTTTTTTTATATTTATACATATATATACACATATATATATATATAAAGAGAGAGAGATAAGAAAAAGAGAGAGAGAGAGAGACGAACTGCGATTTCCACGTTGGTTTTGTGGAGGTGACGTGGGTTAGCAGCGCGACCGGTTCGTCGTGCCCCTCCGTGATTTTGTTTTCGTCAGCTCTTTCGGCGTCTGAGCCCACTTTGCCAATAGAGGGTCGGCCCAGCTACATTACCCCCCCCCGTGGGGCCTTCAAACTCGCATCTTGGAGCCCTCTTGGAGCGCTTTTGGCTTGGGTCGCTCTTGGGCGCTCGTGGGGCCATCCGGGAGGCCTCTGGGACCCCTGTTGGGCCTGTCTTGGGCCATCTTGGGGCCATTTCGAAGTCTCAAGAGCGCATCGGAAGCGACAAGGCGAAAAATCCAAAATCAGTGATTTTCCATATAGGTGTTTGAAGGATGTTGGCCTCATGGGGTGTCCTGAGGGCTCTGAAAGCACTTGAAACCGTCTTGCGGCCCTCGTCGTGCCTCCTGGAAGTATGTCGGAAACTATATCAAACCATCGTCGGCTATACATCTTGGAACGATTTTGGCCGTTTTGGACGCTCAAACGATTCGCGGCCCGCCACGAAAACCTCAGAGACGGGGGGGCTAAACCTCCGGGAAGGGATGAGGTTTTTGGAAGAAGAAGAAGAAGAACAACAACAACTCGCTTGAACACCGTAGCCCACAGGGCTGGTGGGACTGAAGTCGCATCGCGGGGAGCTTGCATTCGCTCCCCGAATTCGAAACTTGCGTATCGAGGTGCGCGGGCGGGGAAGAATCCGGCCAAGAGCCCAGCGCCCCCACGAACTTTGAAGGGGCCGCACAACAAAGAGTACCCAAATGATCCCCACACCGACGACGCACCGTCAAAAGTAACCCAGTGGCGCCGCGTTACTTGCGACATCACCCCTGGTTTTGAAGGGTTGACCCGGTAAGTGCATTCGAGCCTGTTCAGTCGTCAACGGGGGGGGTGTTAGTGGTGGAGCGTTTCCGCCGTTATGTTCATCGTTCCAGGGGGGTCAATTTCGATCGGACCCCCGGTCATTTCTCCCAAGTGGGGAGACTGCCTGCGCGCGATTTGTCAGTTGTCGGCTTCTGCTGCTGCTGCTGCTGCTGCTGCTGCTGCTGCTGCTCAATGCTGCTGCTGCTCGCACGGTTCCAAGCGGCCCCAAGAGGCCCCCAAGAGCGCCCCAAGACGCCCCCAAGAGCGCCCCAAGAGGCCTCTGTCCAACGAATTGTGTCGTGCCAAGCCAGAGTGATTTACTCATAAGATGACTCTGCAATGCGTCAAAGGCTTTATTCATGGCCGAAGTGGGGTGTTGTGTTAAGTTGGGTTGTCATTGTTCGAGAACCCCCCTTCGTGTGGCGCCGTTGGAATCGTTATTTATCGTTCCAGGGGGGTGAGTTAGTGTTAGTCAGGTTTTCCATTCGTCACGGCTGAGAGAAGGTTGAGTGTTTCGCGATTTATTTTTATGATTCAAGCCTGCTGCGACCAGGGTCCAGCGTTGTATTGCCGGGGGTGATCTTGCGACGATACTTGGCCGCATCTGCGTCCGAAGCGCAGCCTTCCGCGCGCACGGGTTCGACGACGGCGCGCATGCACCACGTGGCATTCCCTACCTCACCAGATGTACTTGGTTTTTGGCTGATGGCGCAGCATTGTATGTCTGAAAGATTCAGCATGGACACCGACAGCACTTCTTCTCGAAGCGAATCCAAAAGTCGAAGCCAAGCCAGTGGACATCGAGAGCGCCGTGGACGCCGCCGAAATAAGAGCGACGACGCAATCGAGATAGAGATCGAGACCGCGACCGCGACCGCCGCCGCGAACGGGATCGACACTAGCATTCTTCTTCATTTCCCGACGCACACCTTCGACCCCAGAGAGCCTCCAATTGGACGTCATTCAGCCGCCGAACAGGAATCATGGCAACGAGCCCCTTTGGAAGCTCTGGTTTCATCAACCATTTTCCCATCCTAGGAACAGCGCGAGTGGCTGTAGGCACCAGCAACTCAAGCAGCCCTCCATGGAGACGACATGGCCCCAACCTGCTTATCTCAAAGGCCGTGGGGGTGGCTGGCACACCAAGCAGCCCAAGCAGCTCAACAGCCGCCTCTTATCACAGCATCCAGTTCAGCAGCCTCCCAGCCTGCAGCCATGGCAGGGTTTCCAGCGGCGCCTATCCCAGTTGCAGGCACAGCCACCCCTGTCGTAGGACCTCAGCAGCATCCCTGGCCACA